ATAGCTCTAAAGAGCGCGCAGTTACTTTAGAAAAGGTAAGAGAACTTTAAATTAAAGTAGTTATAGATATAACTAGAGCTATTGCTTTAAGCTAACTAATATTACTTACTAACTAGACTAAGCTACTATACTCTATACGCAACGCTATTAGAGAAGATATACTTAGTAATAAGTACGTAGACCTTACTAGAGAAGCACTATTAATACTAAATAATACTTAACTATATTAGGTAGACTAATAAAGTATAGAATTAGATAATATACTTCTTTATAAGAGAAGACTTTATATTCTAGAAGTAGTCTATGTTAAAGTCTTATAAGCTTACTATAATAACTTCTTAGTAGATTACTTTAGGTTTATCTAAACTCTAGATCTTATATTAAGAGAATTCTAGTAGTTAGAGGTCTAATAAATAGTTAAGAACTACTATTAGTTCTATATAATCTACGCAAGAATAAAATCTACTAGATATACTAGATATAGAGAACTATAGTTACTATCTATACTAGCTAATATTTAGAAGAATATTATAATAGACTTTATTACTAAGTTACCTCTAAGTACTCTAGAAGAGTAAGAGTATAATAGTATACTTATAGTTATATACTACTTCTCTAAAATAGTATACTTTATACTATTTAGAGGTAATCTAAATACGCTAGAACTAGCTAAAACCTTTTATTAGAAGATTATACGCCTCTATAGCTTACTAAAGTTAGTAGTTACTAATAGAGAGGTACTATTTATATTAGTATACTAGAGTATCTTTACTTAATACTTAGAGACTAGATAACTACTATTAATAGCCTTTTACTTCTAAACTAATAGCTAGATAGAGCGCATAAATTAGGTTCTAGAGTAATATCTTAGAGCCTATATAAACTATAAGTAAGATAACTAGATAATTCTACTAGCTAACGCTAAGTTTACGTATAATAACTTTAAATATAGCTTAACTAGCGTTACTCTATTTAAGCTAGTGTATAGCTATATAATTCTATCTATACTAGAGTTAACTAGCCTAGATCTAACTAGACTATCTAAGCGTACACTTTAAGACTAGAAACTATATAAGAAAGTATATAAAATAGTATAATAAAATCTAGTAAGAGTCTAAAAGTACTAATAGAAAGCGTATAATAAAAGTTATAAGCTTAAGAAGTTTAAGGTTAGTAATTAAGTTATACTAGATATGTGTAATATCTACATAACTAGGCCTAAAAAGAAACTAAACTATAAGTACTAGAGCCTACTCTAAGTAATAGAATAGATTAGTAAGTAAGCCTACTAACTAGACCTTTTAGAAGATAGTAGAATCTATCTAGTCTTTTATATTAGTCTACTAGAGAACACTTTTAATACTAGTCTAGTCTAGAGAGACTAAGATCTACTTTATTATATTACTTTATAAGTAGGTAATAATATATATAAGATAGATAGAATACTTAAGAAGTAAAGAGTAAGAGACTCTTAGATATACTTAGTTAAGTAGATAGGCTACCTAGACTCTAATAATTAATAGCTACTTTTAGAGAAGATCTCTCTTAGCGCTATAAGAGTGTTTAAGAAGTTCTAAGAGTACTCTAACTAAAGATAATTACGCTAGAGTAGGTTTAGAAAGAGCTAGATAGGTCTAGATTAGCCTAGTCTAATATTCTAATAGAGTAGGCTAGAGAATATATTAGATTAAATAAATTAATAAATTTTTTAAGTATAATAGACTCTAAAATTACTTAAATCTTAATTATAAGTATAAAGAAATTAATAATTATATTTCTAGAGCTAAAGCTAATCTATACTAATCTAGATCTATTTAGATTAGATAGTAACTAATTACTATATAAAGAATAATAATAAGTAGATTAGAACTAGAAAGAACTCTAGAGAGCCTAACCTAGACTAATTTATACTAGAGTATCTTAGACGCTAAACTCTATAACTAAAAAACGCTAACTAAAATAAGACTACTTAAATTAACTTAGAGATAGCTCTAGATAAACCTAAGCTACGCTAGGTTAACTTAGAGTAGAGTAAAGTAATTAGTCTAGAAGCTATCTCTAGTAGCCTTAAATAGCTTACTCTTAATTAAGAATAGTAAGTTAATAAGACTTTTAACCTTAGCCTCTAGAGCTAGAACTTTCTTTTTAAAAGAATCTACGTTCTTCTTCTTCTAGACTAGGTTAAATAGGTTTAGATTAAAATAAAAAAAGAGTATACTTACGCGCTTACTAGAAGTTTTAGAAGCTTTATTAGTATTACTATAAGACTTAGCCTTCTAGGTAACTCTAAAAACTTTAGTATTAAACTAGATATACTTACTAGAGTATAAAGGCGTATTCTTATTATTAACGTATTAGATAGTATTTCTACCTAGATTAGTATAGATTAGTATAAATAACTCTAGATTACTTATATAGTAAAAGTAGTAGTCTAGGCTTTAATATTCTACTTTAGAGATAACTTATCTATAGTAAAAGCGTTTAAGATATTATAGACTAGAGCGTTTAAGAGCGTCTAAGAGTATATTCTATAAATCTTTACCTATATTATAATAATACTAGAGATAGTATACTTAGGTAGCTAAATTAGTCTAGATTAGCCTAGATTATACTAGAATAGTATTACTTACTTAAAAATAATCTTAACTAGATAAGTTATAAAGAATATAGTAAAGAAAAGTTAGAGCTTTCTTCTTACTAATAGTATAAAACGCTATTATAGTAGTCTTACTTTATAGAGTCTAGATTAGTATAGATTAGTATAGATAGCTCTAGAAAGAAGTACTAACCTATATCTTATAGTTTTTGTCTAGTAAATAGTAGTAGAGTACTAGATTAGTCTACTAGTTATTCTTAATAGTAGTATATAAGATATTACTATAGCGTATATAACTATTTAGGTTATATCTAGCCTTAGTAGTTACGTCTCTTAGTTGCTAGGCTCTAAGTGCCTATATTACAACTAGATTAGTATAGATAGAACTAAATTAGAATTAAAGATAGCTAGTTATTACTAGAATACTCTAAGTAGTAGAAGATAGAGATAGATAGCGTAAGATTACACTAGATTATAGTTAATAGTGTTAGTTAATAAGCTTCTATACTTATTAGTAAAAGAAGAGAAAAGGTAAGGCTAGACTATACTAGGCTAGCCTAGATCTACTCTAATTTAGAGTAGTCTAGACTAATTCTAATATATAGAGATTTTAGAAATACTTACTAAATAATAGGTAGAAGTAAAGAGTCTAGGTAGGTAGCCTAAAAAGAGATTCTCTAATATTAATATATAGGCTATATTTTAGCCTAGGCTTAGCGCTTATATAATCTTCTAAATTTTTTTAATTCTTTATCTTATATAGAACGTACTTTTAGAAAGAAGAAAAACTTTATTATAACTACTTAGTTATAGACTACTCTAGATCTCTTTAGATTTTTCTAGACTACGCTAGCCTATATAAGCGTAGGCTCTACTAGCGTAAAAACTTAGAGAAACTTCTTATAAGTAATAGCTCTACTTAGATTACTTAGTAGAAGTTTACGTTTATATAATTTTATATTAACTTATTCTACTTTTATAATTAAGGTTTCTTAAACTAGTAAGTATAATAGCTTTATACTTATTTCTAATTAGCTTAAAAGTATAAAAAAGGCGTAGTAGAAAAAGCTTATTCTATAAGTATAGATCTATAGTTTTAATACTATTTCTTAATAAGATAATAAGTCTATAAGTATAGTTTAGAGAAGTAGAGTATACGCTAATATAGAAGTAACTATTAAAGGTAGCTATTTTAAATTTTTAGAGTTAGTAAAAGTAGTATAATAAGATAAAGTACTAATCTAAGGTTTTAGGTAATAGAGTGTAAAAGAAAGAAGTAAAGATTAAAATAGTAGTATTTTAATATAAAGTGTGTTTATAAACTCTTCTCTTACTACTATAACTAAATTCTATAGCCTTAGTTATATTTTTAGACTTAAAAGAGCTTATAGAGTTTTATAGTTTTTATTATAGAGGTGTCTTTTAGTAATTTAATAATTTTTTTATTTATAGCTTATCTTTAAGCTAAAAAGCCTAAAACTATTAGTTAAGCCTTTTATAACTTATAAGTAGGTAGAGAGCCTATTTTTTTGTAAATTTACTTATTAGAGAAAGCGTTTAAGCTAGAAATGTTTGTGTATTTAACAAAATTTATAGTTTTGCCTACACAAAGTTTTTAGTCTTCGCTTACAAAATCCGCGAATGAGAGTTTACCGTCTCCTGTACGACATCACGCAAGCCGTGCCACGTTCCTGCATGTGTGTGTACACTCCGCTTTTTCGACTGATCTTCCCGAGTCCTCAGTTGCATCCTTTACCGCTCTGGTTCGGTACGACGCTCGAGATGGAATCGCATCCACGACTCCTTAGCCCGTGTGTAATATCACGATCTCACTTCCCAGGATGCTGGCGGCCGAAGGAGCCCTATGCATCGGGCTGAAACACTACATCCGGCAAACATGGTTGGTGACACCATAGCCGCCATCACAAAACGAATGAACACGAACTGCTCAAGGTCGAACCATACACAACTTTTGCGCACGCGTGCCGCTTGAAGTTGGAGCTACTTCTCCAACTTTTCGTGACAGCCGAACAGCTCACCATTGTGCAGGGACTGGGTTCTCTGCGTTCTGTAGATCCCGGGAAAACCGGAACGTCGCACGGGACGTGTTGAGACCGATCTCACACACTTCGTTGCTCTCGCGTTTTCGACTCGTGGCCATGCCGAAGGTTTCCTGACAGGGCTGCAGACCCTGGCACCCGCGGAGTAATTGGCGAATGTCACTGTTCGGTGGGCGTACGGAAGGTGGGTACGTGCATAAGTGTGGTTAAAGGTAAAGCCACCGACGAAGCCCATACCACCCATCTCGTTCAGGGATCTGGGCAACTGTGAAATACTCCATGTTTCCCACAAAAGCAGCCTTATTCACCTTATCTGGTCGTCTTGAGACCTACGCTATCACATCATGGCTGGATCATTATCTGATAACCCGAGGGGCAGGCAAGCGGTCGAGATCTCTTCTGTCTTCACTGGTCTGGCTCTCATCACCGTCGTCCTTCGACTGTACACGCGCTTCTTTATAATTCGCTGCGTGGGTATCGAAGATGCCGGCATCGCTCTCGCAATGGTAAGTTCATTACTACGTCATGCTGTGTATGCTCATGCTAACCTTCTGCCAGCTCTGCTCCATTGGCCTGACAATCGCCATTGGTATCCGTTAGTGTATACCTGACTACGCTATCTTATAGACACTGACAAGATGCAGAGGCCGAATATGGTATGGGCAGACACATTAAAACAATCCCAGACGATCACATGGTCAAGTTCTTGAGGGTGCGACGCTCTCAACGTGTACTTCAGGGCACTGCTAACATAAAGCGACAGACATTCTGGTCCAGTCTCATCGTATACTACCTGTCACTCGGTTTGACCAAAGGATCAATGCTCCTCCAATATCGACGCATCTTCCCGACCAAGAAGTTCCAGATCGCGAACTGGCTTACGATGGCCGTTGTCGTCGCCTACACCATCTGGACAGTCTTCTCCAGTATCTTTACCTGCACACCTGTACGAGCTTTCTGGACTCACGAGAAGTCTACTTGTCTTAACCAATTCGCCGTCTGGTTCACGAACGCCGCCATCAACATCCTTACCGATTTCGCGATCATCCTTCTCCCTATTCCGGTCATCCAGAAGTTAAACCTTGGCAAGAGGCAGAAGATTGGACTTATCTCCATCTTCGCTGTTGGCGGATTGTGAGTATTCCTCCCTGGTATTCCTTGTTTTGTCTATTCGGGCCGTTCCGTGAGCGCCTGATGTCTGTTACAAGGTGTAACACGAAGCTCACTCGATTATCGCACGGTGCATCACTGTACCACCGGCTCTTCTCGTGATGAGTTACTCAGCGGGCATACCCCTACCATCAACTGTTACAAAGAAGTCACACTAACGCGCGATCCTGCAGTGTCTGCCTAGTCTCAATTCTCCGTCTACAATCTCTCGTCGCGATCTCGAACTCGGCTGATCCTAGTTACGACAACCCGCCTGCGGCGACATGGAGCTCCGTTGAGACCAACGTCGGCATTATTTGCGCCTGCCTGCCGTTGCTCAGGCCTTTGATCACACATTGGCTTCCAAGGGCGTTCCCGTCAAGACACCGCAGCGCATATTCCCACTCTCGCCCACAAGGCGCTCGTACCTACGGTAGCAGGGGTGGCAGTAAGGCCCTGCGCACCAAAGACGACTACGTTCTAGACGTAACCAAGCGCTCAAATGGCTCGAGCGAGGACGCGAGAGACATCCAAGTCGTTACGGACATTCACGTAGAGGTGGATGGTGCCGATGGGAGGAGGCTGAGCGGTTGGAGAACACCCGCTTCTCAGGCCACCTGGGCGGACGATATATCCCGCAAGGAAACACAAAGGGAGAACAGCACCGAGATGCTGGTAGACGAAAATCCGCGTGTGTCGAGGTAGATCCGAGACTTTTCTTTTGTTCAGGCCACACACTTTAACACCACTTTGTTACGATACCCCATGACCTACCTACTATTAATAGAGAGTAATTCGACTCTTGTAATGCCCTCATTCTTATGTCTTTGTAATTATTTGACTGTTCTCGCGATTGTGCGCGTGAGCGTCACTTTCTCATCCTCAATCGCTACCTACCGGAACCTCGGTCCTGGTGAAGAAGATGCTGTCCCGCTCACCTATCTCCCTTCTCTATGCTTTCGATCATGACAAGATGTCTCTGTTCCCGCCATGTCTATTAGAACCATGACCTATTCTCTGCGCGGGCAGTTCTTCCTATCATGCGTGCTGCTCATACAGTCACGTTCTTTCTTTTGTCGGCCAACCATCCGGACTAAGCCAGTGCTTCGTGGAAGAGTAGCATACTGATCTGATCGAAGCTTCTGGGCTCTTGTGCTGATTCCCATTTCGCCCAGATGCTAGGTGTTTGGCCAATGTCGTTGAGTACAAGTCGTACAAGCAACAAACACCTCCCTGAGCACGTTGCTGTACATATATAGCTGAGAAGTACCACTCTGGGTTCAGCATCTAGCTATATCGGCTACACTACAACTTTCCAGGGTCTTCGCGATATATACTTTGCGTCATTAAGAGGAGGAATCGCAAGTGTGAGAAGCTTCGCCAAGCCCGTACGTGACGGTCGCACAAGCCCATTCACGTGCATTCACTCGCAGGTGCAACTAGCGTGGAGCTAGTGTAGTCAGTGCTACAGCTGACACTACCCTCTACTTAACCCAGGGGTACTTTCAGCCTCCGAGCGCTGGGCCACCACCACTTCTCGCAAGCTCGCATTTACTCCACCAGTAACTGCAGCTTTGCACAGCTAACGCGCGCGCCGGTTCCATCACCACTATCGACATACAGGCTGTCTGTATGGTATACGGAGCCCGCTTCTACGCCGAAAACGTACCAGCAGTCGCTATGGGGCCCGATGCTATGGTCACAAGCGATGGTCGCGCATCATCTGCGCATCCAAGGTCAGTGATTGCCTTCTCCAACTACAAGATATATCCCCTGACTCTTCCCAGTGAGCGTGTACCATATGCAAGACAGGCTATTCAAACCTCAATGTCGTACTGGTCCGCAACTACGTACACATCCGCCGCCCCAAGCACGCGGGCGCCGACTATGTCGCGCCGCTCATTCGCTGCTTCCGATTCGTCCCAAGTGCGAGCTTCCAACGACTTCCAGTCACACGGCCCCCATACCTTACAGCCTGAGTTATTTGGGTTGGAGGTCTACGCCGAACATTCCACCACCGAGGGCCCTCAGTGGCTCCAACAGCGGGCCAAGGTCGATGGATGCTCGAACACCGTTCGCGCCTCTACTAGAGGCTTCACCACTGGCCAACCATCACTCGCTGAGAAGTTCGCTGTCCTCATGATCTACGCGTTCTTTACACTCTGGCTAGTACGATCTGCCACTGAGAGCATATTCACTCTCGTTCCCTTTGCCAGCCTGGTATGGTTAGCGTTCGGTGGGTTCCAGATGCTTGAGCAGCAACAGCTGTCAGCTCAGCCGTTGCCGATCATAGACGACGACGACGACGATGACGACGACGCGTCTTGCGGTGTTTGTACTACTGGAGACATTGTGCCCTTAATTGAGGCAATGATGCTCGACCGACAGACCGCTCATGAAGAGTCGAAAGTGCCAGAGTGGTTAGCCAGCTTTCGGGATATGTCTGCAGGCAGCGACCAGTGGATGTCGTCTCTTGGGAACGAAGATAATCTGTCTCTCACTACGTCCGTCGCACCAAGTGCTCAAGGTCCTACGGGGATGTCGCATACTACCGAATTCCAGTGCGAAATCGTTGGAGACGAAGACGCTGTCGAAGCTGCTTGCTCCAGCAGTGACCAGATAGCAGCACTTCAGCGTCAGCATGGCAACCTTGTCTTCAACGACACTGACCAGTGGGCGCCGGGTGGCCGTCTTTACAACCAACGCAGGGCCAATCATCTTGAGCCTATCTTCATTGATGGTGATGGTCAGACATACGAGGATGTGGACGGCTGGCTTGGACGACCCACCGAAGCAGATGCGCAGGACATCGCCTTCCTTCTACACGCCTTGAAATCACATCTTCCGGAAGACCTGAAAGCAGCGATTGGAGCTCAGTCTTTGGATACGCTTATCAAGACGCGGTCACAGAATGGCGAAAATGCACTCCTCCAGGAGCTCGAATTGCAATGGCTTCTCATCTGTCCTGGTACTATCGTCGCGCCCGGTTCGCCCATCAAGACGTTGCAAGACATCAAGACCATCATCGAGGGGAATCGGAGGAAATTCACCCCTGCATGTCACATCGATGTACGTCATTACGTGGGGCTAGATCACCCTTGCCGACCATATCTCACAGAATATGAAGAGATGGCGATGAACGAAGGTATCTCGGACTACAACATCCGCAACTGGAGCATCGACTTCAAACCCTCATTCATTCGTGAAGCCACAAAGGGCAAGCCAGAGCACGCCTTGATCGAAAGCTACGAGCGGATTCCCGACTGGATGGAAGACATTGACGAAGGCGACCTACTTGATCCAAATGCTTTCCACGAGTGTCCATGCGGACAGGCCGCGATGTCAACGCTCGTTAGCTACCGCGACGAAAAGGAGCACAACTACAAGGAGATGAAAGGCTTTGAATCTTCCTTCCCGATCGAAGTCCTCGACGGTAGCGAGCTCCATGACGCCATGGCTGACCTGGTTCAGTTCCCGGATTATCCCGAGCATGCGACTCCGCCTCGTTCCCAGGAGATCGTACAGAACTGTGAGCTGCATAAGACGACCACCAAGAACATCTTTGTTCTAGTCGATACGTCAGTTGAAGACATCAACGAGCGTATCAGCCGTCCTGGTGGCTTACTTCCTGCTCCAGGAATGACGTCCTCTTTCTACCCTCCCGGATACCAGACTACCGTCGGTTTCTCGGAGATTCCTTACCGTCTGCTCGCCCCTCGGTGTGAGCACGGTCGCTTGCATCAGCTTGAGTTTACGCCTCAGACGATGGCGAGCAGGATGATGAATACGAGTCAGATCGGCTGTACACACTGCTTTCCGCACGGCCACATCGTTACTCGATGCCAGGAGTGTCTAGAGCATTGCTATGCTCTGGCTGCGCCGCACGGCATGTGGGGGCAGCTCGATGCCGCATATCATCCAACAGTAGGCTTTGCTCAAGAGCAACACCAGGGTCACGACTTGGCACAGAATGTGCAGTCTAGGCGGGCAAAAGCCTTGATCGCTGGTACTGCGCGCGCAGCTCCTTATCCATCCGGTAGGTCCTTTTTCCATTACAATGCTAGATCTTCAGCTGACTCCAGACCTCTAGTTCGGCAGCGGTATCCCAACTTCCCCGTCAACACAGATTTCGAGGCTGCAATGCAGCGCGCAAACTGGGAATGAGCCTTTGAACTCACCCCCTTTTGGAGCGAGTTTGTACTATTATCACCCATGTCCTTTCTTTATTCGCTGTTTGATCGAGATCGTGGACGGTCTCGAATGTTCTCATTTCTCTTGATATGTTCGGCGTTTGCTACCCGGTTTACTGTTCTATGAACGCCATCTTTGTTTGCTTCTGATAGCCACATGAACGCATATATCCAACTCGACAACCATCAGTCTTATTAGCTTCAGTTCACTTATATACTAAACAATGCCCCATCACTGTGAACAGTTCGATTCACTTCGCAACTATGCTTACGCTGTGCGGGCAATTACTTTCACTGGTCGATAATGTCGGGTTCTCGCGAGCAGCACTGGCCATTTGGATGCCCCGAGTCGTTCATTCACCGGAGTCTGTGCTGCTTCCCGAGCTAGACTCAGGGTGGCTCTTGGTTGCGCCTCTGAGACTGAACCCTCGCTCGGTATATATGTCCACGCTCGCGCTGCAGAGTGTACTATACCTCCATTACATCACACCGATCATTTCAACCCACATCGACTCACAGCACTAACTATACTCGCCTGAAACGCACCAGATCTACACCAAGAAGGCCTTAGCCGTGCAGGTGGGCTATCCGCTCCACCGGCATCAGCCTCAACCATCCCCTGATACCATTGCCGCAAGCGCTGGTCCAGACGAAGCACATCCACGAGATCTCCAGCGGCCCGCCTACCTTCACACCGGCTACGACAAAGGAAGATTCCATTGTGCAGATCGCCAGGCTGTCAGACACTCCCGGGTTAGTTTCATCTGATGCGTTCAATGCAGATCGAATGCTAAATCACTACAGTCAAACCATGCAGTCACTCAACAAGCTCTTTCCGCCCACTATAGTGGTCACAGCACCATCATCTTTCGAGGGTACGCTCCCAACATCTTCACACATCAAAAGCGTATCACATACCTCTGCGTCATGCAAGGTCCATGCCGACATGACTGAAGACGACAAAGACGAAGACTGCGAGAATCCTGTTTACATCAAGTCGCTCGGTCCCAAGTTCCACGGAGTCGAGGAGTTGGTCACTCATCCAAAAGCAGGCGACGATGGCTTTGGTTTGCTGAACGACATGGCTTCGTCCTCTCTGAACTCCGATTTCGACTATGAGGGTGAGTACAAAGACTACGAGTATACCTATGGGATTCTCGAAGAGATGGGCGTTGGATGCGAAGAACTGAGTGCTTGGCCATACACCCACACTTACTTCCGCACCGAGATGCCAGATGGCAGCAAGATTATCATGGCAAAGTTCCATGATACCTATGCAAAACATTATACAGGCCGGCCAGCTTTCCAGGGTAACAAGGTCAGCGACGAGGTTCATCAGCACTTCCTGGACCTAGCTTGCGATGTGTCAAAACACAAGCCACACTTACATCTTCTCGCAAGGAAATTCGGATCTGTTGTGGATGAAGAGGAGCCTCGCCTGAACATTGGTTGTTTTGAGTATCCTCGGCAGTTCCCAGCGGTGTGGAATGAAGACTTCGACGAAGTTCCGTTGCCTCTCGGAGAAGAACGTGTCGTCGTTGGACTATTTCGCTCCGGCAAGCAGCGCAACACAACCTACGAGACGATGAAAGTGCGCAAAGATGTGCCAGACAACCCAATGGAATTCTCCTCTTGCCAAAAGGGCATTGAAGCAGCCCGCGCGCTCGCCGAATACCAGAACGACGATGAGCAGATTCGACGAACGACGCCGATCCCTGATTGCGACCGGCCTCGTTTTGAGGGAGGATTGCCATTAGACGCCGTACCTAAAGCAAAGTGGGATCACCTGCACGATTTCCCAGGCGAAAACGATGGCTTCGTCCAAGGCATCCTGGGAAGACTGGAGAAGCTACGCGCTCAACCGGAACACTATGATCTTCTAGTCGATAAAGGTTCCCACGAGTATGCGGCCGGCAGTATCCTTGGACATCGGAAAGGTCTCGAAGAAAGCATGGTTGTTGGACTCTGGCATGCCTTATACCATGAAGAGGAGTGCAACACCGAGGCACTACGCGAACAGGGACTGCTCAACCCTGAAGACGACTTCGGTGACAACCCGGAGTACCTGAAGGCGAAGAAGTTATGGTGGCAGCAGAAGATGGGCATCCGCGGCATTGAAGCCATTGTCCGGTACCACATGGGGCACGTTCGCTCACGGCGGCGCCCTAATCGAGCTGCGTACTTTCTGACCGAGGAAGACGATGCCATTCTCAACTGTAATTCGCCAGAATACCCAACATCGCGTGCTAAACCCGAGGAGGTCCCTGAAGGATGTCAGTTCTACGACGAGCTTCATGACAACCCGGTGGATTGGACGGCAAAGTCTGAGTCCTGGATTCGGCTGTGGCGTCTTTCGGCTACCGACATCATCGAACACGATGACTTCGACGAGGAGTGTCGCGAGCCTTACGATGCGCTCGTGGAATATCAAGACAGCCGCGAGCCAGGCTGTGAAGCACACGAAGAGCCAGAAGAGTTTGCACGTCCACTACTTGCGGGGCGCCGTGTTGCTACTTTGGCTGCGCTGGAGCGGAAACGCCGCGATTCGGCTGTTGAGCTGAAAACCAAGACTTCTCCTGGTGGCGGAAATCCACAAGCTCAGCGTACGCCCGGCAGCATTCCAGCGGCTCAAATAATGGCCAAAGACAACGCTTCCGTATCGAATGCCGCAGCTTGTGTGTCAGGGGGTCTCATGGAGCATATCCGGGGAACTCGCGACGAGGAGGCAGATGATGCCGCTGCCGCGGTAGCTAATGCGCCTTCTCCCAAGTTCATTGAGGCGTTCCTAAATAAGAAGAAGAAGGTCATTACACCTTCTCCCGAATTTCTCAGGGCATTCTTGAAGAAAAAGGCCTTGATGGGTGCTATCAAGTCCAGCATCCAAGTTCCGCCTGGCATTCTCGCCGACTATTCGGCAGTTGAGGATGAATTTCGTGATCAAGAATCAGGCATGCCCTGTAACTTGATACAACACAATGCACCCGGTCCTGTCCCTATTCAGGGACGCGTCTGGGTAGGCTCATCGAACCCCGAGATGAGCCGTGACCAACGTCGCGAACAGCAGGTCACTGTTCGCGATGGTAAAGCTCTGACCCGATCGAGGAATGATGCGGAGAACCGGTTGATGGATCTACTGCATCTGCCTGTCAGCAAGACTGACTCCATACATCGCCCTCGAAGGGAATGAAGAGTATTCTCTAGCACCGGCCCACAGTCGCACCGGCCCAAGTCAATGCGCTTTCGATATACAAGGTATATTGAGGAAGACTGCGGCAGGCCTGGAGGTGTTGGCGTGTTCGCGCTTTCGGCGCTGAGCGTGTGACGTGCAAGATTAACAGCTGGAGGTTCGGAGACGGACTAAGCTCTGCTTCGAGCAAGATTCGGCATCGCGAGGCGTGTGATATGCCGCTATACATATCAGCGTCTGGTGAGATGGAGGAGATTGGAGGTGTGACTGTGTGATGGACGACGTGATCGAGACGCGTTGGCTGGATATCGCGAAGGTTCGGGCATACCAGGCAATGGGATACGAAAGTTAAGTTTGCTGAGAGAGTTGTGGCACTCTACGTTGCTTGTTTGGCTGTTGTGAGTGCATTTGCATGCGGACCGGAGTGAAGACAGAGTTGTCGCAATTGAGGTTTGGGAGGAAAGCTGAGCGCGCTAGCCGAAATGAGCCACGTGATGACGTAGCGTGATTCTGCTGCTTACCTAGGTACCCGTAGCCACAAATCAAGCCTTCTCCGCAAAGCTTGACACGCCATCTCATCTCCACACAGTACGGGTGTGAGTGCCGGTATCTACTCATTGTCCGTCTGCTTTCGCACCTTCTATGTGATGGGGTCCATCAGATATGCGCAGCCGCCCTATGTTGGGGAATGCACAGTCAAGTCCTACTGCCGCACCTACGTCCATTTTCAGCTACACTGTTGGTCAATATTGAGGTCTCATCACAGGTCCTTGTTGCCTCCCGCGATGACTCTGGTCCCGGCTCGTTCCGGCACTACATCAAAAACGCGCGGTGTGCATGGGAGCGCTTCGGGAATAGCAGATCAGACTACTGAGGATGAACTGTGAGTAAGCTAACGCAGTCAGCTCAGAAACTCGCCGGTGGCTGCAAAGTCACCATTGCTCAAAGGTTCAAGTTCGAAGAGCAAAGAAAGCATCTACTTCGATTTCTTCAAACCCAGAAACCACAATGCCTAGGTAGGTACCGAGTTCGTCTCCGCAGAAAGACAATGATGCAAGACTGAGAGCATTACGCGGTCACCACCGTCACGATCAACAAGATGGGGATAATTCAAGATCCGAGCAAATCAGACCCCTGTCGCGAACTCGTGGTCAGCCTCATGCTCCGCAGCCAATCTTCAGTCAAACTCGAACCACTAGGCCAACGGCAGTTGGTGGACATCCCCCGGAAAAGCCACAACCCCAGCTATAGACAAGACAATATAGCCAAGATGGGTAAGCTTGATCGAATATCCCATGCAAGTTACCGTTCATCGCCGCATGCACGCCAGGGCTGCGTACCCGTCACCTTACTATTCTCAATAGTCATGATGTCGCTTTAGGTGACGTATGTCTGGTGGAGTTAGTGATGAAGGCATTGGGGTGGTACGATTGTACTGTCGCCCAGTTGTGTATAAAAAGGATGGTAAGCCGTCCATCTATTCTGCAGTTGCACGGTGAGATAGCACTGCAACGAGCAAATCCGTTCCAGAATGTTCTATTCCTCATCCGCCGCGTTCCTCTACTTCCTGGCAGGTCTTGCCAATGGCCTACCTGCACCTGCACCTCAGGCGTCAGGAGTCTCTGGCGGCTCATCAGTGCCAGGCCCTGTCGATCCCTCGCAAGTCCTGAACATGCCACTACCTTCTTCGGCATCAGGCTCGTTGCGCGGTTCGGATGGCTTACAAGGGTACAACCCTTCAAACCCAGTCGACATGAAGTCTACAGTTATTCCACCTGAGGACTTTGAGCTCGCACCGGGGCAGTCAGAAGACGAGGATTTGGGATTGTATATCGATCTCACGAATGTGAAGAACCCACAGCCGATCCGCGGAGGTACTACAGGACCGACTGAACCTGGTCCACGGTAAGTTCTTGGATCTGCCCAAAGACTGTACTGTGGCTGATATTTCATTGCAGTACTCCAGCGTATGATCGCCTGAATAGTGACATCTACGCCCCACCCGGCTCCGATATGGGAGAAGTAAGCAACGCGAAGTGGCCATTCGGGCTTAGCCATAACCGTCACGGCCTTGCAGGCGCAGGATGGGCACGATCGCAAAACACCGATCAATTACCATCTTCCGTCGCCATGGCGGGGACAAATATGCGACTAAGTCCCCATGCCTACCGCGAGCTCCACTGGCACAAGCAAGGAGAATGGGCATACATGTACATCCCTCCCCCAACTCAACCACCCAACAAAGCTAACCAAACAACCCCCAGGCTAAATGGTAGCGTCCGCATCGCCTCCATGAACGAAGCGGGCCAAACCTTCGTCGACGACGTCCAAGAAGGCGACGTCTGGTTCTTCCCCCCAGGAATCCCTCATTCCATCCAAGCCTTTAAAAACGGCTGCGAATTCCTACTCATCTTCAACGACGGTTCCTTCAGCGAAGAAAACACCTTCCTCCTCTCCGAGCTCATGCTGCGGAACCCAGAGTCGGTTGTAGCCAAGAACTTTCGTACGTCGGTCAAAACAGTGCAGAACATGCCCCAGGAACAGTTATGGATCTTCCCCGGTACCCCCGCGCCGAAGAACATCTCAGAGCAAAATGTAACGGGGCCGGCTGGCGTGATACCAAAAGAAGGCGCATACTCCTACCACTGGAGCCAACAAGCCCCCGCCCGCGTCCCCGGCGGCACAATCAAGATCCTCGACCCCTCCACCTTCCCCATCGCATCCACCTTCTCCGCCGCCCTCATAACCGTCGAACCCGGCGCCATGCGCGAAATGCACTGGCACACCACTTCAGACGAATGGTCCTACTTCATCTCTGGCTCCGCCCGCTTGACAGTCTACGAAGCACCCGCCGCATCTCGCACATTCGACTTTACGGCTGGGGATGTGGGTTACGTGCCTGTGCCTAATGCGCATTATCTTGAGAATACGGGGAACGAGACGCTGGTTTATTTGGAGGTGTTGCAGAGTAGTCAGTATAGTGATGTTAGTGTTAATCAGTGGTTGGGGATTACGCCGAGGCAGATTGTTAGGGATCATCTTAACGTCGATGATACTTTCCTTGATGGGTTAGCTAAAGATCATGAGTTTGTTGTGCAGGGGGATAGGGATTTGGGGACGACGGATTTTACGCCGGGGGAGCATGGGGGTGCTTAGAGGGTAGGCAGGTGCTGTGCGGGTGGAATCTGGAGATAGATAGCGTCTTGTAGCCTCGTATCTAATAATGTAATCATTGTATCGATCTTCCTCCCACATCACCTCCCACCCATTGCCCATCTCTTCCCACACCATCTACCCCAACCTCTCCCTACACAACCCCACCGCCACATCCGCCGTCGCCCCATCAAAGAAATCATTTAGTATCACAACGACTCCCTCCTCCCCCATCAACTTCCTCCCCACCTCCCCCTTCAACAACGGCAAAATCTTATGATCACACACCGGTTTCGTCGCTAGAATCGGACTCGTACTAACATCCGAATCCAGCACACTAGCAATAATCACATCCCTGATATTCGTTGCCGTAGCTTGACACTGCAGTAGTGTAATCGGGTGGCCTCTAGGCGGGTCTTCACACATGGAGTGAAGTTTCTCGACCATCGAGTCACCAGTTAGTGTAGCATTTGCAGCGTCGTCGTAGTTGGAGGCCTGACCACAGTCTTTCAAGATGATGAGCCGCACATTTGACTCGCGGAGGTCGTGAATGGTTTTGTGCATCATATCGTCCTGATTCCCCGCTTTAAGATCTTTACCGCGCAGGTTATCGTTGAGCGCATCTCGTAGTTCGTCGTCGTTAGGCCGGGGACAGTCGCCTGGCACGCCATCCCATCGGTTATGCACAACGATGATTTCGTCCTTGTGGTCGACTAGGAACCGCGTGATGTGGTCTAGTAGCACGCGGTATGGCATTCCTGGTATAGCGCCGTGTTGGAAATACCAGGTATCATCCAGGGGACTGACTTTCTGCATTTGTCTATGGCATTTCGCGGGGCGGAACTCGAAATAACGCGCCCCGATCTTGAGGATAGTGTCGAGAGTGTCTTTCTGTGTGATGGCTAGTGCGCGGATGATGTCTGGTGCGATCCGGTTTATGGCGCCGTCGCCGACTTTGTTGATGATGGTGAGGGCGTGGGGGAGACTGCGGCCGAGGACTTCTTTTATGATGCCTGTGCCGGCGTTTTTGAGGAGGGAGAGGCTGCTTGACATGTTGTTCATACCGATGTCGTGGGCGGAGGGGAGGACCATTTTGTGGAAGGGGCGGTTGGATTTGTCTGAGCCTTGGGGGATGATGTCGCGCATCCAGTTCTCGTAGTTCTTTGTGATGGTCACGTAGCATTGGTGTTGTTTTGGTAACTCGGCTAGACCTGGTCCGGCGTCGTAGAATCCGTATGAGATGACGAGGTCGTTGGCGAAGATGCTGGGTGTTTGTTCCATGTTGACCATTGATCCGTCTTCTAACTTGCCGGTCATGCTGTTGATTGCGACCCATTGTTTTGTGAGCTCGCGTCCATCCTGGCGAACGATGAATTCGAAGTTTCCGGTGAACTTGAAATGGGGCAAGTTGGATGACTCTACCTCGAGATGGTCATGCAGGAATTGGTGTTGATCGCCCCTTTTGACATTCCCCTTTGGCACCGTGTACTCAACCTCGACGCCATCCACTGCGATGTAGGTGAAACATCTGACCCCTTTGGATGGCATGTTCAACTCCGTCCTTCTCTTCTAAATAGTCGTTCAAGTATATCGTTCGCACTAGGTGCCAGACCTTAGCGGGTCTATGCCGGGGGGATCAGAGATGTGCAGCATTTTGAGCTAGGGAAGCGGGGCATCATCTCATATAGCACAAAGCGGGTGATCCGTCAGCCACGCGTTTTCAGCTCTGTCTAGACTCTACGGGTCGTTAGCGGTGGCTTAGCTGTGGTGTTGAAGTGGGGGATGCCGCTGGGCGCACCAATTAGGCCCAGCAGCCATGGCACGCTACTCGGGCCGACGCCAACCTTGAAGAGCTGGTAGCCCATTGACGACTGTTTTTGTGATTACAGAAAAAGTCTGGGTTCAGCAGATCAAAAAATGGGGAGCTCTCGTTCTTTTGGCTGCATATCACTAATGCCGTTCCCGTGAATGATGACTGTTAAGCTACACTGAACCTCTGTAGGCCATAGGTAACAGAAGGTAGTATTTTACCTCTGATTTGATCAAGTCAATCAAATGAACATTGGGTTCAGACGTATCAAGGATACGCTGACTTGTTGTGACGTTATCGACACGAACGACAGGAGAATCCCGCATAATTGTCATAACGACGATACAGTTTGACGCCTCTGCCAATAAGCCAAGAGTAGCATCGTATGTATATACATCTTATGGCCGACCGGAATGAGCCTAAACGGAACTTTTTGGTCTCCAAGTTCACCTGAAACGAGGTACACGCTGGGGCTGGGCCGTCTTCTTTTGCCGCCAGGTAAGAACTCAGAAGTCTTCAGGCTATATTTGGATGTACAGGCGAAGGAGCAAGGCCATAATTTTCACCAGCTTTTACCGGCGAACCGGGCACCGCGGGCCGTTGTTCGCCAGACATGCAGGCGAAGATGCACCTTTCTGTTGGATCTGCATCGCCGGCATGGAAGTATATGCACCGAGAGGGCGGAAGACCCAATAATGTTCAGACGGAGCAGCTAAGCGGGCTGTAAGAGAGTCGAGATGAAACAAGCTATGTGTTTCAGTGGTGGTGGGTGATGCGTGGATGCTGGCAGGTGTTGGTGGGGCAATGAGCTGTTGCCCCTCACCCCAGGGCTCTCGTTGCGAGCACCTCCCTTCTAGACCAAGTAGCTCCATACCGCCTGCTGCCATTAGTGTGAGCTGTCCCCAATTGATTTCCTGCCATTCCACCATCTAATTCCCAATTGCAGTTCGAGCAATCAATCAAACCTGCAAACAAGCCGCTTCGAGTTATACAATAGATACCCCACCATCACCTCGAGCTACAGCAACAACACATCGTCATCATGGTCGACCGTGCGAACCGCCCATCAGCGCTGAACGCGCCCACCGCGTCCGCACCCGGCCCCCAGGTCGACATCGTCGGAGAGGGTGGCAGCCAGAAGGTCGTCGCGAGACTGCCGTCTGGTGAGAGCGTCGAGGTGCTGCTCTTTGGAGCCACTGTTACTAGCTGGAAGAGCAGCGGCGGAAAGACAGAGAACCTCTGGTTGAGCGACGCGGCTGATCTGACTGGCAAGAAGCCCGTACGCGGTGGCATCCCCGTCGTATTCCCCGTCTTCGGTCCTCCTCCTAAGGAGGGACACGCCACTTCGTCGCTGCCACAACACGGTTTCGCGCGTGGATCGCGCTGGGAGTACATGGGCAAGTCGACTGCAGAGGATGCTCTCGACTCCAACTCGGTCAAGCTCGACTTTGGCCTCGACCGCCAGTCGCTCAGCGAAGAGTCGCGCAAGGCGTGGCCGCTGGACTTCGGCCTCGTATACAGCGTCACACTGAGCAAGGACAGCCTACAGGCCGTTCTCACTGTCCGCAACGAGGGCGAGGAGAGCTTCGAGTTCCAGTTCCTGCTCCACACCTATTTCAGGATTCAGGACGTGTCCAAGATCGCCATCACCGGCCTGTCTGGCACCGAGTACGTCGACAAGGTCCTCAACGCCTCTACCCACACCCAGAGCGACAACCAGCTCAAGATCACTGGCGAGACAGATCGCGTCTACAAGGATATCAAGCAGGACACCACATCGATCACCGAAGACGGCAAGCCTCGCTTTGACGTCATCCGCGACAACGTCAAGGACACCGTGACGTGGAACCCGTGGATCGAGAAGGCCAAGGCCATGGGCGACTTCTCACCCGACGACGGCTACAAGAACATGGTCTGCGTCGAGATTGGTGCCGTGGACGGCTGGCAGAGGCTGGAGAAGGGCGAGGTCTGGGAGGGTGGCATGTTGGTCAAGAGCCATTTGTAGGAGACAGGAGCACGCCAATCTAGGAGAAAACTGAACACCCTGGAGTCTGCGTTGACGTTGGGCCACCTACTTTGCAAGTTTTTGGTTTGATGTAGTCTGCAGACCTGTTCAGGTTTTTTCTTGTATGAGGTGGGAGGGGGATGAAACCGTGCATGGATCTGGTTTACTGATAGCCCTGGAGACTGCCTAGGTAGAGACCACTGAAAATAATGATGAGTCTGGCCAGTCATTGTTGGTATGCACTTGCTATGAGACGGTGACAGACCCTTGCCAGCTGGGACGCCCTTGCCGTTCCACTCTCCCCACCAAAACCTGCGCGCCATCCAAACAACACACGACACCATGACAACAGTCAGCGCTACCTGAATACCACGGTCATGCCACTTCTACAAGACAGTCGCGACGCCGTTCGCTACCCCTTCTGCTATCCGCTGTGGGCTATCGACTAAGGTCCCTGCCTATACCGCAGCCTTTGTAGCTTCCCCGCACCGCACGAGGTGGTACGACCGCACATATCACATTCACATTTTCCATATTAGAGGCAGTTACGTCAGCTCGGTTGTTTACGTGGGCGACACGCTGTAGACCGCTGTCAAAGACGTTGCGCGCCCTTCCCAAGCCGACACCCATACGACAGGGCCGACGGTCGCAAGTCGCGCCAAAACATGTCGCTGATCCCCTACGCCCCGGCTGAGTCGCGGGAGATTGTGCTGTAGGTTACTATGAGGATATACCATGCGACAACAATGACATAGTGCTAACGAACTTCACAGGCGTCATGGTTCTGCTGTTGTCGTCTACGACCAGCGCTCGAAACAACTTTCCCTCCGCGATGCCTCCCACGCGACTGATATTGGCTCTACGTCATGTCCATACTGTCACCGATCCTACCGCGAACCATCACCCCATGACGAACACGACAGCGACGCGGAGGAACATACTGCGCCTGGCATACCCACCGAAAATGGCTTCGTCAATCCCGCATACTTCCAAATGCTGCGCCGGAGTCAGCCAGGATCAACAGAGGGATCGCGACCCTCATCACCACATAAACAACTCGCGCCTGCCCCTTTGCGCATGGGTAGCTTCAGTCCGCCAGAAGGTTCTGAGTTTGTGGGAAGCACACCGATCCAGCCAGCTAGAAGCCAGGGTATATCTGCCAGAGCCTTCAGTCCCAACTACTTCAAGGACTTCTTCATAGAAGAGCGGGAGCTGGGCAGAGGAGGCAAGGGTGTGGTGTTGCTGGTGCAGCATATCCTAGACGGCGTGCAACTCGGCAAGTTCGCATGCAAGCGCGTGCCAGTCGGCGACGATCACGAATGGCTGGAAAAGGTCTTGATCGAAGTGCAACTGCTCCAGACCCTGTCGCACGAGAACTTAGTATCATACCGGCATGTATGGCTGGAGGACTACCAGATATCTAGTTTCGGTCCAAGCGTACCATGCGCGTTCATACTGCAACAGTACTGCAACGCCGGCGATCTCCACGATTATATTCTAGACTCTATGAAGACGTCTGTTACCAAGGAGCAGATGAAAGAGCGACTTAGGAGGAGGTCCAAGGGCCAGCTGGAAGACCCAGAGGACGTGCATGGACCGCGTCGCATGCACTTTGAAGAGATCATATCATTCTTCAAGGACATCACATCCGGCTTGAGTCACCTTCACGCCAACGGGTACATACATCGAGACCTGAAGCCTAGTAACTGCTTGCTCCATCGTACTGGCCGCAAGATCAAAGTTCTAGTTAGCGATTTCGGTGAAGTGCAGTCCGCGAATGCAGCGAGAAATTCGACAGGAGCAACTGGAACTATCTCATACTGTGCACCCGAAGTGCTTCGTCAAGAGCGACCTGGAGGTGCTTTTGGCAACTTCACAACCAAGTCTGACATCTTCTCGCTCGGCATGATCGTCTACTTCATGTGTTTTGCACGACTGCCATACCGAAACGCGGACGGTATCGACGAGGACAACGAGGACCTAGATCAGCTGAGGGCGGAGATCTCGACTTGGGCTGGTATCGACGACGAACAGCGGGTTCGCTCAGACTTGCCTGAAAAGCTATACAGATCGCTGAAGACGCTCCTCGCTATCAACCCCGATGAACGCCCAGGTGCAGAGGAAATACTGAATGTCCTGAAATCACCACTGGTATTCGACGAGTACAACGCATATGCAGGCCCATCGGGTCTAGACGAGTTTAGTCCTCGCATATCGCGAGCCGACACGCCCAGCCCGTCACCTAACCAAGGGAACAAAAAGCGTACTTCGATCAACTATACACGGCCAGGTCGATCCCACCTAAGCGCAACTGTCATGGACCGATCGCCTAGTCCGCCACGTCCGCAGCCGATGAGGAGGCAGTCTTCTGAGGACGGGGCGGTGATCTTGCGGAGGAAATTGGAGTTCCCGCCGCCCCCTTCTGGAGGGAGAACGCCATCACCACAGCGTCTCATGCTTCCTCCACCGCCACCTGCGAGTGCATCATCAAAACTGTACAGACTGTCAAGGAACCCCGCTGCGATTAGCACTACCAAGACTTTGCTGTTCTGCGCAAAGGCTTATAGTTTGCTGTCGCCTTGTCAGCCGTTTGCGGCGGATCCACGCGTCCTGTACCCGTTGTTATGCATAGCATCACTCGACTTCTTGCATGCTGGTATATCCATCAGGGGGCGACCAGTCGACTTGGGTGGGTTGGGACGCTCAGTGATACTTCTGCTGGCACACATGATGGTGGTGGGTGTTCTGTGGAGATGGAATCGACTTTGTGCAGGTCGAAGTGTTGCATGGGATGGCATGTAACGGATGTTTGGGAACGGAGTATGGTTGTGACAGATCTGATTTATGATACCTCTATAGCATTGACACAAAGTAACGAAATCATCATAACAATACTTCTGAACGTCGCAGTTGGGTGCAGTGCCTTTCAATCCGAGTTGTTCGACGCGCACGTTATGACGGGCGTCGGTGGCTGGGTGGGGCCAGGGTTCGTTAGCTTTGTTTTGGAGTAAACACGCTGACCCGCTTCGTCTTCAACACTCATCGCACTTTCCACTACAACGCGCCCCAAGACACCCCATCATACTTGGGCTGGAATTATTCTTGGAGGTAATGATATAACTTCAGCAGCCTTTACGAAGCATCTTTCTCATACCCTATTCACGTGTTTACCACGCGACGCGACCCTCCACAAGTTGCCCGCCGCAGCCTCACAATTTCGACATGCAGTCGTCTCCTCCCACAAGTGACGGGAAAGCGCGCGCTATTCGAGAACTATCACGCAGCCTCAGCCACAGCCCCAGGAATATCACCTCGCCATCTCCACCACCAAGCGACTCGAATCCCACGCAGCGCTCGGGCTTCGGCACCAACACGTCTCAGTTCTTTGACGACCCGGACATTCTCATGTCCACACAGCACAACATTGGCGAAGACACCAACACACTCCCAGCATACCCGCATATTCGGTCAACAGCCAAGAAAATGAACACTTGGGCACCGTTCCGCTCCCAGCAGGTCCAGCCGGACACGTCCATGGTAAACAAGGAGTTCGGCGACTTTGACCACAGCATATCAGACGAGGAAAGCATGGCCGTCGAGCAGGCGCGCGGTAACCGCAACAACCGCGGTACACCCAGCAAGATGAGCTCTCAGTTTAACAGCCTTTACGACATCACACCCCCCACCAACCGATCGCGCAAGTCATACCAAGCAGAGACTGGTAGCCTTCGACGCGACGCGGCGATCCGACGCGCCTCGCGCAACGACCTCGATACTGCATCACCGCGTCCTGCAAGCAAGCGCAACTCCCCCGCCCTCTCTACAAAGGAAGATCGCAAGCGTACTTCTCTCGCACAGCTGCACGCGAAGCTCTCGGAAGACGAGTCATCGTTTATGGAGCACCGACCACCAACACTGACCATGGACTCGGCCAAGAACACGCGCTGGGGCAACCGGAGCCGACAGACCTCCCTCCAAACTGACGGCAACGTCGACCAGCCGCAATCAAAAGCTACATCCCGCTCCAGGCCGACCACAGCACAGAACGCGACTGCGCAGTCTTTTATTCTGCCCGACATCCCCAACCTCACCGAGCTTGTCTCCGGCGTCTTCGACGATGGCACACCAGTCTTTTCCAAGACCGCACCCTCAAGATCGCGCTTCGCTGCTCCTCCATACGGCGGCCGCCGACCATCGCACATTCCCATCGACGGCGCGCCCATCCCCGACGAAGAGAAGGCCATCTTCGCTGCCCTCCAGCAACTACAGGAGAAGATTGCAGACATGGAGCGTGAGCGTGAGGAGAAGGACAAGAAGATGGATGAGCAGGAATTGGAGCTGATCGAGCTGAGGGCGACCACACAAGCTCAAGAGAAGCTGCGACGAAGCGACAGCGCGCAGGACTCTGATGCTGGCGGAAAGAGCGGCTGGAAGGTCGAGAAGACGCGTAAGTTTCTGCAAACTGTAGAAGAGTATGACTTTACTGACAATGGCTAGGCCTTGACGCGACAGTACAGACCCTCCGAACCAAGCTCGATCGCGCCGACCGCAAATTCGCTGTACTTGAAATCGAGAAGAAGCGCCTAAGCACCGAGCGCGACAACATGGCGAACCAGCTTGGGGTCGCCTTCCAGACCTGCGAAGAACTTAAGACCGAGAAGAACGCTTTGAGCCACGAGAACGAGCAGCTCCGCCAGGAGATTGACAACCTTCGGGAACAACTCGAACAAGACCAGTCACACCACCGCGAGGAGACAACTCAACTTCGTCAGCAGTTCGACCAAGCCGCGAATGCGACCCAGAGGGAGAACGCCAACCTACATGCCGAGTTGGCTCGCGTACGCGCTCAACAGGACGAGAACACCCAGCAGTTGACTCGTAGGGATATGGAACTGCGAAAGGCGCGTCAAGAGCATGCTGAGTATGCCCGTTTGAAGTCCGACCACGAGTCGCTCAAGGCTCAATTGGCAGAATTCAAGGCGAAGCGCGAAGAGGAGGCTCAGCGCTGGTCTCGACAAGAAGCTTCCTTGCGAGCTCAGGTTGGCCGACGCGACGACACCATTCGACACTTCGAGGATATGACACAGGAACGTACCAATGAAGCCATGCGTCTGGACAATGAGAATCTTCGAAACGAGCTTCGCGAATTGCAAGCCCAGCAAGATGAGGAGAACGAGGAGTGGGCCAGGAAGGAGGCAGCATTGCAGCGAAAGATTTGCCAGCGTGAGAATGCTCGAAAGGCTAGCGACATCGAGCAGCACTTTGAAGATACCACCGGTCCTGTTTCGAGAACTCGGGATACAGAGCACATCTTTGAAGATACTCTGCAACGCAAGCCTAGCTATCGCCGCGAAGACACACGTACGCGCATCAGGAACCGTGTTCAGCAGGAAGTCCGCAACAGCAAGGTCGCTGGAGTACCAACCCAAGAGAGCCCGCGAAAGTCGTTCACCGGACATTCGCGATTCTCAACCCGCAGTGTGTCAGCACCTGTTCCCGCAGACAAGCATACCCGCGCCGAGAGTGATGTGGAGTCGACAACGGATCTGTCTCTTGCACCTCGCGCAACTCTTCGCATCTCACGAAACCCCACTCTAACGAGGCAGACCACGACTGTTCAGCCTCCCGCTGACCTGAGTCTGACAGAGCTGAGCTTCTTCCCCCAGGAAGAGATTGCTAGGCTTCGAAGATCTTTGGAAGAACAGCGAGCTACCGAGCGCCATGGTGCTTCATCTGCTAGAACCGAGGAGCCAGTCCGCGAGGACACTGTTCGATCGCAGCGCCAGACTCGTGAAGACACCGTCAGGTCAGTCGCTTCCGCTAAGAGCGAACGACGACCCTCCCTTATGCGCAAATCATCGCTCAAGGACACCACTCAGCGTACTACCAACACCCACTTCGAGGAAGACACTGGGAACTTGTCGAACATGGATGCCGACGCTGAAGCCACCCAAACAAAGCAGTCAGCCGTCGATGCGTCGATGCTCAGCAACACCAGTCGCAGACGCCGCAGCGCTCCCACCGAAATGACATCCGCCTTCATCCTCCCCGACATCAAGCTCAGCAACACAAATCAAACCACCACCTCCCGCAAACCCATCACCAAAGACCACGACAACGACAACTGCACCGTCTGCCGCCGCGAAGGCTACACCACCGCCACCGGCCCCCTCCGCGTCCCCAAACTCGTCTCTGTATCCACGCGCACAGCCGACGAACCCGACGCCACCCTCCGCCCCGCACAATCCCCCCGCGAAGCCCTCGCCCTCGTCGTCAAAGGTTTAAAAGACGAGCGCGTCCACCTCTGGGCCGAGCTCGCTGTCCAGGGCGCCCTCCTCGAGCAACACGACCCCAGCCTGGGTAAGCGCCGTCGCGACGCCCTCAACGCCTCGATCCAAGACCTTCACCGCCGTCTCGAATGGCTCGACATGCAGATCTACCGTCTCCACGACGTACTCGAAGGCCAAAAAGCTGATGAGCTCACCGAAGCGGAATTCGACGACCTTACACAAGAGGTTCTTGTCCAGCAGTCTGAACAAGAAGAGCAAGACGACGGTAACACGGAGAAATCGGTAACTACTGGTGGAAAGAAGAAGGCGAAGAAAGTTACTATTCGCAGTTTTGTGGATGAGGATGAGGATGAGAGTGTGGAGCTGAGGCGGAGCACGGCGCAACAGGATCACGGGGCGGAGGAGAGTGGGGATGAGACGCATGAACTTCCTTGGGAAGGGTTTGGTGAGGAGAGTATGGAGGGGGATGTTAGTTTTAATGCGTTGGAGGGGTGGAGGGCGAGCGTGCACTGAGTTGAGTTTGTGTGAGATGAGGGTGTTTTGAGTATTCTGTTTGATGAATAATAGGGTTGGGTGTTGGATTAGGGTGTTTTCTTTTTGATATGGAAATTGGGGACTTGCATTGTTATCGGGCATTGGGTATCGGCGTTTTCTTTCTTCTCTGTTTTGAGTATGCGGATGGCGGTTGGATGTTTTTTTTCCTTACCTTGTTGGTTACTCCTCTTCTCTTTCTTTGGCATTATGGCTTTCCTGGTAGACTGCCAGTCGCTCGGCATCTAGCTCAGTATTCATGTTTCAGTCATTTCGGTTTGAGACCTCGACTCACCCTCATTTTGGGTTCGAGTTGGTCTCGCTGGAAGAATAGGGACATGGATGTAGATTTATTTGCTCGGGCATTGGAAGCTTACAGAACTGGTTGTACGGTCAATGGATCAGTCTGGATATGAAGAATTGGATACATCATCGCATACATCTTGACTGAAAACCTCTTCGTGTTGTTACATTCATGACTGCCTCTTTTCACTCCGCCTCGATTCAACCCTCTTTCGAACCGACAAGATCGTATATCTGCAAACACGCATGCAGTGTATCTGCAGTCTCCTACCAGAAGTCCTGGGGTGACCGACTTCTCTGCCGCCGTATACGCAAACCTCTTGGCATATTTCCCTCAAACGCACCAGTAGCCTGCCAAATACTCGGTCCGACGTTCATAGCAGGCTCTTCCGACGAACTCCGTTCTTCAGTGGCGTCCTGTATGTCGTCTTCGTCTTCTTCCTGGATGATGGAATTGATATAAGTTCTTGTATTGGCGTCGTCTGGGGCATGAATGTCTGGCTCGGCTGGACGATGTCTATGTGGCATTGGACTTTGACTGCTTAGCCGTGTTCGATTTGGCTGTGGACAGGAGGACGCCCGTCCTCTCCTGATCTTTCTTTCGGTTCTTGGGTGAGGTGGAGGTACGACAGGCGGGACCACCAGACTTGTTTGGGACGCTGCTTGTGTGGGGGTAGGTGGGATTGAGATGATGTGAGCTTCAATATCATTGTGACATTTCCGAGCTAATTCGCGTAGAAGTTCCATTGCTTCCTCATACTCTTTTATGCGTGGGTCTTCGTCTGTAGGTTCAGGCGAAGTGGGAGGGGATTCTGGTGTTGAGGATTCTTGGTATGAAGGTTGCGTAGATTTTGTTTGAGTAGTAGTAGTAGACTGAGACGTTAGTGATGAGTCGTGACCTTGTGATCTTGAGCTATTCCTAGAACGCCGTGGTGGACGAGGTGGTCTGTTGCCAGCATCATCCACAGGAAGAACACGTTCGACGTATCGTTCTACTGACTCTGAGAAGTCTATTATCCGTCGCTTCTGCTTGATAACATCTTGTTTGTTCTTCTGCTTGGCATGGTCGTTGACCTTTTTTTCTGCTTCCTCGAGACGATTTGGTAGTTCACTCTGTTTGAGTTCGTATGTATCCCTGCGTTGGGTAAGCCTCTCTCGACCGCATGTGTGAGGACCCGCTTACCTTGAGCTTTGTAATACCTGTATACGCTGCTCCACAGTCATACCGTAGTCATACATGATATCTTCCCTTTGCTGAGCCGTCAAAATGGATCTGAGGTGAGCAAGTTGCTCGTCTAGTAATTCGATGGCGCAGATATTCGTGAAGCCGACCATGCTTTGTCTTGCAATGCTGAGGGATGCGCGTAGAAAGACCAGATGCTTGGTGTTAAAGTACCACTTAAACTTAGCAAGACCAGTATCAATAATGCTGTGCTTATGGATAGGATCTCGCGATAGGGCATCCACTTTGTGCGCCAAGGTTTTGAAGTCTGCGACGGCATGTCTGGTCCAGGAGACTAATTTTCGCTTGGCCGAAGACACACTTCTCCTGTGTCTCTTCCTTGTTGAGCAAATCTTGAGGAACTCAGTGTATAGGTCGGTGAAGATGTCCATTTCATTCACCAGCTCTTCGAGTTCTTGTCGTGCATACGTAATTTTCTTATAGGCGACACGTAGTTCTTGCGCAATCCCGATGACGATTGGGCATAGAGCAACTGCTGCTGCCGCGGCGCTGAAAGGCTCCATTGTGGTATGGTAACAAAGTTATGATGAGGTGTTGGTATCAGTATCTCAAGCAAGAAGATGTAGAAGCGAGAATGAGCGTAATGAATCCAAGAACATTTGGGATAACCGAACGCGTTCGAAGATATCACTGTCTCTTTTAACACGCAGAAGGCACCCGACAACATGGAAGGAGAAGGAAATCGACAGAACCATTCAAACGTGCATATTGACCGGTGAACTGATGGCTTTATTGAGCATGCACAACTCTACCAACCAGCGGCTAATGGCACTCACCACTTTGGTCTTCGCATGCAGGGCAGGCGGGGTAACGACCTCGCCTCTCTGCCTGCGCACTTGAGGCAGACTCACCACACCGGGTATAACAGTGGTTGTTGCATCTGATAGGCGTTATTGCCTATCGAAGGACGTGTGGGGGTGCGACATGAAGGTGTTGGGCGTGGTTCATCCGCCGCATCGTGACAAGAGTGCATGGCACAGCCGTGGTGATAGGAGCGTCGCTGCGAGCCTTGCTGTCGGCCTTGCATAGCTTGGAAATAATGAGTGTCAATCTATGAGATGAGTGAAGGACTTAGGAAAGCAGAAGACGGAAGTTGCGTAGTTAACGCACGAGTTAGTGCCTTGGCAGCTCATGTAAGGAAGGCGCTCTCACGACATCACACCCATGGAGAAAATTGAGATTCATGTCTCGATTGATACTACTCAGAGCCCTCGGCTCAAGTAGATCGCTACAAGAAGTAGCCTACGTATGGCCAAACCTCTCATATCCGAACCTAGGAAATCCACCAGTGCTCCTCCAGTAAAAGGAAAAGGGTGTCATCCATCTCAGTCCTCCATCCGTAACGCCGTCATAAAAGTCGTAAGGGATCCAAGCACGAAACCCAGACCTAGACCCATATCCGTCATCAACATCCCTTGTCTCGTCCGTTTGACCGAAGAGAAGCGCAACTCACAAGCAACAGAACTGATCCATATCCCACCATCGCCATAACCAGCACATACAACCGACTCCCGCTCACCTCCCAGAATAGAACTGAAAAAGCGAAGAAAAGCGCATGCGTAGAAAAATGACTGGCAGAACGCTGAAGAAAGACATGTAGGAAGAAAAACTTACTGTGGATCGATCGCGTTCGCATCTCGAAAACTAGCGAACAGCGATCCAGCACACAGCTCTTGTCCAGTTGAGACTCCCGTCATCCTTTCCCTTTGGATTAGCTCTTCACAGGTACCTCTGCTCCCTGTCGCCGCGCATCCTGAGGATGGGGCGCTCTGAGACAGGCTTCTGGCGAGGTTTGTAGATCTTTCGACCAGTGACGACAGCGATCGCGTTCGGGTTTGAGAGCTTGCGCTTGGCGGCATCGTCGTCACCGCTTTCGACGGCCCACTTGTTCGAGCGCTTCCTGAAACTGTCTCGCTTGGGGACCGTGATGTTGGAGCCGGGAGGACTGGGCAAGACGTACTGCTCTTCGACCGATTTGCCCTTGCCCTTAGGGCGATTGAACATGCGAATCGGGCTTGCAGACATGGTCATGGCAGCGGGTGGCTCGTGGCCAAGCGGTGTCATTGGAGCAGGCGGGCGCTGGTTCTCGGGAAGGAGGCGCCTCAAGCGCGAGCCACTGAACGAGGGAGACGGACCAGTGGGGCTGGACTTGACCATGCGACGGTTCGTAGGTGTAGTGAATGCGTTGTCGTCAGGCTCAGGGCTGGCCTCGTTGCGGACGGCACCGGTACTGGTGTCAGCAGCTAGTAGCAGTAGAACACAGGATGCGTTTGGGTTACCATGATAGTTGAGACCCTGATAATTTGCGGTACCACGATCATTCTGCAGGTGAGGTGCAGTAGGGAGACCATTGCCCGGAGCCGAATTGCGTCGGCTGCTGTCAGCATGACGGCCATTCCGACCAAGATACCCAGTGGAGCGTCTGGAGTTAGTTGGAGCCCCGATGTTGGTGAAACCAGTACCGGTGTTGGTGTTGAGTGCCGGACGTTCCCTAGCACGCTTGTCGTGGCGACTGGCTGCCTCGTTGTGAGACACCATCTTGACCTTGACTGTCGCCCTATCAGTTCAGCTTCCAAACCACGAAGATCCCGGGTATGCAAGGGGAACTCCGTACTCTGACCTGGTATATAGCTGCTGTTGCGAGTAAATGTGTTGTGCGCTGTGAAAAATTGTCGTTCGCGTCGAGGTGTTGTTGTGATGGCTCGATTGGGTGTTTATATACAAACGGACGCGGACGCGCTCGGGCCGGGCGACGAGAACTTTGCACCCCCGCATGGCGAAAAGTGTTTCGAGGTGAAGAAGACGAGGAGCGGGGAAGAAAGCGGTAGAGCTTGATATGGACGTGATTCGCCTTCACTGTGAGGAGAGGCGGTTGGCTGGTAGCGTGGAGCGGTGAGGAGCCGGTGGGTGGCCAAATAGCATGTATATATCCTGAGATACGGTAGGAAGGGAGTGTAATAACCAATGAAGAGTAATAGTAGGTCGTGGCAATATATAGGAACTGTCCCACATGAAGGCATCTGCTCATGTGCCAGGTACGGCTGTTGAGTGCGACGCTTATTGCATGTGCTGTACGAATTGACGGAAACAGCAACGAACAAGTAAAGAGATTGAGTTCATAGAGTTGTAAGAAAGACGAAAAGACATGAGAGAAGGACTGATATGAGAGTTGAGCAAAGCTAGTAGTGAGAGGAAATGTCAGGTAATAGCATACAATACCTCTAACATCGGCCTTAACTTATAAGATCGAAAAGGTCATCCGACCATTCCTATACGAGAGTGACGAAGGAAATGATCCTAGTCACAAGCCTACTATGGAATTCAAAAGCAAGACACAAACGCCAACAGAGAGATCCAATCCCAGAACCAAACCGTAAAGCAGCCACATGCCAGGGGAATATGTAGCAATGTAGCCTTTATATGCGCCATATCAGCGCCGTGAACATCCAGCCATGGAAGTAGAGTGAAGAAGAAAGGTCGTGGACAATACAAAGGAGACTGATAGGACCCGAAGAAGGGTTGCCTCAGATGTCTTCCATATTGCCCGCCGCTTCATCTTCATCGCCTGACTCATAGCTGCCGACAGAGCTCATCTCGTCGTCATCGCCATCGTCTTTGTCGGAGTCTTCGGCAGTGTCCTTGTTGGCGTACTTCTGGACGTATTCTAGATGTACATTAGCCTGGCTCACACGACTCACCCTTGTATACATACCCTTCACCTTGGCCTCGTAGCTCTTAGGTTCGCGCATAAGGAGGGCTGCGGCCTCGCCGTTCAGAGGATCGGTCGGGTTCGGGTATCGCAGGAGCTGAGGAAGGAAGACCTCGAAGATGTTGATCATGTCGTACATTGGTGACCATGTCTGGTTGATGACGTCGAGGCAGACAGAGCCAGAGCTATTAAGTAAGCAGGTGTTCTCTGAAATACTCAAACAAAGGGATGGCACGTACAGTTCGTCGATATTGGGGTGGAATATCCTGTTCACGAAGCCAATGCTAGGGCTCTTATACGGATACTGATCGGGCAACTCGACATGGATCTTCCAAAGTCCACCCTCGAATGGCGCTGTCCTTTATTAGCACATGATGATACGCATAGCGCGTGCGCAACTTACTTTCTACTGGGCCCTTAAACCTAACGTAGAACTCCTGCCTGTGGTGTGTCAGCGTCGTTTCGGCGAATGCGGATTTGGATGGTAGGAAGAACTGACACTACGGGGTATTAGCTGTGTATTCGATAGGAATGGGTGTCATGTTACTCACTATTGTCGTTGACCAGAGTCACCTCGTAGTCGCTCATGAGCCTGCCTTGTATCAGCTATCGGGGTTCGCCATGTGGTTGCCAGGCGCGTGGCGCGGAGGAAGCGGTAAGTTGGTCGACATACATCCTGTTCGCATGTTAGCATTTTGTCTTACAGCCGAACCATGCGCAACATACTTCATGACCTGTATAGTTGGAAAGAGGCCTCGGTTAGCTCTTGTCCCTTGCTCAGCAACCACCGGGGTGAAGGTCTCCACATACATCCGTCTCAATACGTCTCTTTGGCGAACTCATATTGGCGTTCTTAGTATCGCGGCCTGTGAAGTATTTCGCTCTTCCCTAGTCTTCCGCTTCTCTTTACGTCGTGTATGGTAGTGTGCAGCTCGCAGTGGGAGCTCTCGTGAGGTAGGCGGCGGGGCTATCGATAGCGGATGAGGGGCGCGTTCGTTGGCAGCTGGTGTGTGCTTTGTTGGCAGATTCTGGCTGTTTGAACCCTGGTAAGGATGTCGATCGGTGAATGCGTGTTGTTGTCGCGTCTTTGGGGTCGGACGTGTCAAAGGGCAGGAACAGTGAGGCGGGAGTGATGGTCGCGGTAGTCGCGATCACGAGCTCGATACCGGCATGTCACGCTTGCGCACGTCTCGCCGGGCAAGTCATCGCCGAGACCACGGCGCGACCGCGTATCTCTGCCTCATGCATTCATAACAGCGCCGCTCTCCAGTCATCATGAATACCTACTTCTACTATCACTGACTCTACCCAGGTGCTTACATATGGATCGCAAGTGCAGATAGGATGACTTCAAAGGCTACGTCATCGCGAGCCACACAAAGC